CCCCCCCAGTGTCACTGGGGAAGCAAACTACTCTTAAGGGTACATTGCATGCCTATCAGTAGATGGCCAACAAATAGATGGAGGTTCCTTGTCTCATAAAGTTGTGTCAGGGCTTAATTTTTTTTGTATTTCCTCTCTTCCTCTCTCTCCCTTCCCACCCAAAGGTCCTTTTATGCATATGTTAAGGTTTCTGGTTTTGTGTTTTTATGGGATTCATGAATGTGTGAATGAATAGATCTCCATGTTTATACCTTTTTGTGCCCTTTCTTGGGCTCTTTTCTTTCTGTTTGCTTGTTTTGTCCTATTTTGATGTGTTGGTTTTGTTTTATCTTACTATGTTTGATTTTATTATTATCCCTTAGAAACATGTAGAAAATAGGATGGATCTAGATAGGAGGGAAGTATGGAAGTGGAGCGAGAGGAAAGTGCAACTGGGATATATTATATAAAAAACATTGATTGATTGATTGATTGATTGATTGATTGATTGATTGATTGATTGAGTATGCAGTATATGACTGCATGTATGTCTGCACACCAGAAGAGGGCACCAGATCTCATTGTAGATTGTTGTGAGTCACCATGTGGTTACTGGGAATTGAAAGGGACCTCTGGAAGAGCACCCTTAACCTCTGAGCCATCTCTCCAGCCCCGAAAAACATCTATTTTCAATAAAAGAAAAATAATTTCAAATCCCATTCCTGTCTCTGTCCACTGACCTCTGTGGTGATGGTACAGGTCCTGCTATTCTGGTTACAGTTTCTATTGGCCTGTGCTTCCTCTGGAGCCTTGTCTTATTACACAGCAGCACACTTTCCTATAGTGACTTTGTTCCTCACTGGCTTTTTTCCTTCCTAAAGCCCATTTTTCTGGTCTAACCTCTCAAAAAGTATCCATCCTTTCTCCTGTTTTTATAGGCAACTCTCTAGAAAGAGAAGAGTCCACTTATCTTCACTTCACTGGCCATCCTCTCACCCATCCAGGCATTCAAATGAATATATACTGTATGCCAACTATATGCCAGAAACCTCTGTCAGGCATTACAGCCAAGAAGCAGTGGGAACAGGTATCTAACTTCACAATGAGGAAGAAAAACATGCAGCACATTAATTTCAACTGAGTATGGCATATACCATGATAGGAGAATAGAGGTATTAGTGGAGCATAGCATAGAGGACTTAAGATGAGAAAGAGGGCCAGGTGTTGGTGGCACATGCCTTTAATCCCAGCACTCGGGAGGCAGAGGCAGGTGGATCTCTGTGAGTTCGAGGCCAGCCTGGGCTCCAGAGCAAGTGCCAGGATAGGCTCCAAAGCTACACAGAGAAGCCCTGTCTCGAACCCCCCCCCAAAAAAAAAGATGAGAAAGAGGGTGTTACCAAGATTTAGGGGATCTAGCCTGTGTCCCAACAAGTCAGATTCAGCCACCCATCCCCAATGAAAGAGCCAAATTAATAGTGAAACACAGAAATATGAGATGTTTAATGAGGCCATATTGGGAAGAGTGATAAAGAAATCCAGAAACGCATGCCCCCAAAGTCTACTTTTGAGGTCCTGCCATAAGGGTAGGGTTTAAATAGAAAGCAAGAAATACATGTGGCTAAGCAGTCCAGCCAGTTACAAGGGGAAAGTTTTATGGAAGGAAAGTGACACTTCTTGAATGACAATAGGAAGATGTGTTAGTTCTTTCATTTCTTTGTTCTTAGTACCACAGCTCCTTGCCAGAGTCTGAAATGTGGGCTACCTCAGTTTTTGATGCAAAAGCAATAGGTTTTTTTTCCATCTGAATGTCCCTCAGCCTTGTTCCTTTGAACAAGTTGCTTGAGCCAGCCTCCTTGGCCTTTTAATCTTTCATGGTGTTTGGTTTCTGTCCCAATGAAACTGCTTTCAATTGTGTCTGTGAGGTACAACTTAGAATCCAAACCGAACTATTTTCCGCCCATCGTTGACTAGATCACTTGTTCATTGAAATGACCTCTTTCCTTAACTGCCATCACACAATGACACTGTTCCATGCTTATTCCTCAATCTGCCTCTTCAAATCTTCGGGCTCATCACATTTCTTTAACTACAAGGGCAATGTCATCCATCTCTTTGGGTTTTGTTTCCATGTCTGTTTACTTACTTCGGTGAGCCCTAGGCTTACATTGCATCAAGATACTTCATCAAACAAAATATGTCTCAAACCCATCCACCTCACGGCCATGACTTGATTCACTGTTGACATGCCCTATGTCAAAAAAGGAAGCAAGAAACAGGAAGCAGAAACCTCAGTCTAGACTGAGTGCCACTACTCTAGAAACCAAGAAAAGCTCTGAGACCCAAAGCTGCACTGCTTTTTTGTTGTTTTGTTTTGTATCTGATCATTCCAGTCACAGACCCTTGGTTTTTTTAAATCTGTACCTGTACTTGTCTTTGCATCAGGTTCAGTTCCCATCAGGTTAAACACAGTACCCTCAAACTGGCCTTTTCATGCTATGCCTTGTGCCCTCAAATCTACCTTTTATGCACAGACTGCACGTACCTTTTTGTCTTCTTCCAGGTTTGGGTATATTGCAATCTAGGTATTCCAATTTTCTTTGGATTCTACATGCCGCATCATATTTCATACATCGGGAGCTTCTACTCTATTCCTTTGTTTTCTGATAAGTTGTTTCTGTTTTACCATCCATATTTTCCTAAATAAGAATTACTTTTGAGATGGGCTCCTAAAGTCCATTCCTATGCTAAGGATAATTACTGATCCACTACAAGAGGCCCCATAGATTTCCAAGGTCTCCTCACTGATACCCACATTCAGGGGGCCTGGATCAGTCCCATGCTGGTTTCCAAGCTATCAGTCTGGGGACCAAAAGCTCTCCCTTGTTCAGGACAGCTGTTTCTGTGGGTTTCACCAGCCAGGTATGGACCCCTTTGCTCATCAGTCCTCCCTCTCTGCATCTGGATTCCAGTTCAGTTCAAGGTTTAGTTGAGGGTATCTGCTTCTACTTCCACCAGCTGCTGGATGAAGGCTATACGATGGCATATATGTCAGTCATCAATCTCATTATCAAAGGAGGGCATTTAAAGCAGCCACTCCTCTGTTGCTTAGATTGTTAGTTGGTGTCATCTTTGTAGCTCTCCCGACATTTCCCTAGTGCTTGATTTCTCTTTGAACTTATGTCTCCCTCTATTATATTATCTCTTATCTTGCTCTCTTCTGTTTTTCCCCAACTCAACTTCCCTGTCTCATCATGCCTTCCTCACTCCCCCCTCTTCTCCCCAACTCCCTGAGCCTAGACACAAGGGGGTTGGCCTAGGCCCTATCCCAAAGAATATGACAGACTTTGAAGACCCTCTATGGAAGGCCTCACCCTCCCTGGGGAGCAGAAAGGGTAAGGGGATGGGTAGGCTGTTGGTTGGGGGGGCAGGGGAGGAGGGGAGGGAGAGGGACCTGGGATTGACATGCAAAATAATTTTCTTTCTAATAAAAAAATTTAAAAATTTCTTTTGAACTTACTGATTGAAATATTAGTCTTTGTGTCTAGTTTCTTTTACTTAACATGCTTATGGAATTTATCTATGTGATGTGTGGTCAAGTTACATGATGATTTTATCCTGGTGTACAGTATTCTGCTGTTAAAGAGTGTGTCCTAACTTAACCAGCCCTTTATAGCTGGAAACTTATTTCTAGCATGTTCATATCTATAACTAACAATGCTTTTCTGAATATGGTG